ATGAGGGTGAGGGCTCCAATAAGTGCGACTCGAACTCCTCGGGATGCGACAGGTAGGCCATCGCCGTTGTCGATGGCTGACAGTGCTTTTTGGAGATATTTGCTCAAATTGGTGGCGTGCTCTCGGTAATCAGTGGGCCARATTTCGTCCTGGGGCCACGGGGTCGCCATGATGCCTGAATCGCACTGGGCAATGCGACCGACACTGGGCTATCCAATTTACCTTTCGGAACGGTGTTGCGGCGCTGTAAATAGCTGTTGTTTTCAAAAATTTTGTTCTCGCTGATGATGATGTTTCGACATAGAAGAGCATGATTTGGAAAGAGGATTTGATTATGTTGGTAACGCGCAGTCACGTTACTTGTGTTCTGCCAATTAAAGTGAAACGGTCTAATATTCGTCCGTGATTAGTGCAGATAATCTAGACACACTGTGTATATGCACTGTATAATGAAGTAATCCAATCAAATTGCCTTGCTACCTGACGAGGATATTAGTCAGCCAGAGCACCTAATCCAGCTTAGCCTCATCAGTCAGCTTAGTCATGCTTACAGTGTCACATTCTCATGCTTAACCTAACCATAATTTGGGGACCCGTAATGGTTAATATGCGAACTGATTAGCTTCGGTTACACTTGAGATGGAATTTTTGAAAGGCATAACTTATATAGAGTCGAGAAATCCTATCTCTTACTTATTCAGCCCTAAATTAAAATATCAGCTGTTTATTTGTAATTCAAGAATAAAGCCAATAGTATGTAGGTAGTTAAGTCGCTTAATAAAGACAGATTAGTACTAAAATGAATTGTGTAGGGTAGCAAAAACAAGGCGCATTCAGATAAAGAGACCCTGTTTTCGCGAGACGCGTTACGTCACCTAAAATAGCTAGCGCCAACTTAAAGCGCGTCTCTCAATATGCATCCAAGTACGGGATTTTTATATGTAACTCTTTACACCTGCATTATCCTAAAACAAAATTTCTTAATTACCAAATATCACTTATCTCGCTTATCAGGACCGCTCAGGACAGTTATACGATAAGAGTAGCAATGAAGGTTCGATTTGTTGGCACAAGAAAACAAGATAGCGCTACGCAACGTCGCCGAGCCCTACAAGCAAATCGTACACGAAACTACCGGCAGCGCCAGAAGGCAAGGGAGGACACTACTGCGACAAAGCATCAGGACGAACCATTGTCAGATGCAGTTGACTTGGTGGCAGACAACGAAGCACCAGGGCCTGAGAGAGATTCATCCCTCGAGAATGATGAGATTGAAGAATATGATGGTACATTTGCCTGCGAGAATTTTACGATCTCCATTCTGGAAGTCGATGATTCCACAATCAGCACTACCGAGGTAGATCCATACTATGAGGAGGAAATAGTTGACGCCTCTCCTGCTGAAGAAAACGAAAGTCAAACACAGCCCCAAAGCCCACAAATCCATGCCGAGAAGTCAGTCGATCTGGCTACTAACGATGCTAACACTGATGTAGAATATGCTACACAGAAGTTTATTCAGCAGTTTCTCACTGGCATACATGGCTGTGGTGTCCAGAGCCATCGCGAATCCCTGATTGCGCACATCGAAGCTGAGGGACCAGATAATCACCATAGACTTGATAGATTAGTTGCCCATGATGTACCCCATACACTTGACAAAGAGTATATTCTCGCCGCTGAAACTGGCGACAAGATAACGGAGCTTAGTCCGGACCAATGGCGGGCATTATATACCGGTTCCACAACCCAAGGCTCAGATAATAAACCCAAGCAGGCTTGCCTTCACGTCGAACAGGCCCCTCAGACTCCACCTGGTATTTCATTCGATGTCGATAGCATCTTGGGGTTTGTGGATTCTCCGGCAGTTGCAACTCATGGGATTCGGTTTTATTCCGCTCCCCAGTATGGTCAAAATATCTCCACCGACGTCCACCTAACCTTAGGTCGTACGGATCCAGATTCGGAGCGTCCCCGGTTGATTCCATCGCGACTGAGAGACGTGCCGCATTTCATCTTCGCGAGGGCCGAAGGCGCTGATTTCATAACATTTCACTTGTTCTTTCCACATTTACCATGCTCCCATGACTTCAATAGGTTGACTGATGAGCAGTTCTCACGGTGGTTCGATGATATCTTCTATCCCGCTGTCCGTCAGGTCTACGATATCGATAGACTTCAGCACTTGCCAGCAAGTTATCGTCACGCATTGGCTACTTGCCGAGCTCCTCAGAGAGAGAATCGTCTGCTCGAGACCTCGAACTACCAAGCCCAACTACAGATGTCCTACTTTCTGTCACCGCAAGGTTTGCAGCAACTGTGGAACCATATTCTCGCAGCAGTATGCCAACCGGGGTTGCAAGATTTTCGTGATCCAGAGCTATTAAT